ACACTGAACGAATTCGTTTCCTAAGTTTTTCCTAATTCTCGTTCTGCCGAGAGGAAGTGATGTTCAATTGGGCCACGACATCATCATCAACTTGCAACTTCTTGTACTGCTCAACCAAGGACTTAATTCGCTCAATTCCCTGAGAGGCGTTGCGTTTTTCAGCAGCCATTCTCGCCTTGCAGTTGTCCATTTTAGCTTGAAGTTCTTTCATCTGAGCAGCCAAATTAACCATCAAAGAGTCTTCAACCATGACTTCGGAAGAGATTTCTTTCAACTCGTCCTCAGCCTTGTTGATCTCCATACGCAAAGACTTTTTCTCAGATACGACTCGAAGATATTGAGTACTTTTGACCTTTAGTTCAGCATTGCCAGCAAAGAAAGGACCTCGGAGTGGATGACCTTCAATGTCGCTTTAAAATCGGCAGAAAGATTGAGCGACGAAAGCGTCAGTGCTTGCTCCAACTTCGCATTCAAATGCTCAAGTTTATCCTTGTGTCTGGCAGCCCTAGCCCTACCAATGTCCATATCCATAAAGGACACGTACTCAAATATCGACTGCTTGAGGAACTTCAAATCTTCCTCTGAAGAAGCAGCAGGACGATCAGATGGAGCAGGGTGAGACGTCTTGACTTGCCCCTAGGAAGCGAACAAGTCTTGGATAGAACGCACAATCTTGTCAGCATCCTGCAAAGATAATTGCCAATATTAAAGATTCTCACTACAACGAACAAGATCGAAATAAAAGTGAAGCAAAGATTACCTCATCAACAATCGTGGAAGATGGCATGTCCTCAGCCAGGTCTGCCACCAATGACTCCTCCATTCGTGAGGATTTCCCCTTGTCTGAGCGAGAAGATGTTGCCACAATGGGTAGACTCATAGGAGTATCTGCAAAACTCAAGAGCAACAAATCAGAAACCAATAGCACAAGCAAATGTAAGACATCAAAAAATTGAATTATCTTCTGCTTCGATGTTTGGGGGTTGACGCCCTGGGAAGGAGGTGACTCATCCATGGGTTGTGATGAGGATTCTGGGATTGAGGATATCTCTTTAAGTGTAGTCCCCTTATCAACCGGTTTGGATGAAGCAGCCTCAGCGGAGGATAATGGAGCAGGAGCTGTCGATGTCAAAGCCTTTAAAGGAGAGGCTAAACTTTTCTGAGAAGTCCAAAAAATCATCAGCACACAGAAAAGTTTCAAGTATGGAAAAGTGTGCTTGTCAGTAAACCAATTTAATTACCTTCCTCCTGACGATAAGAGGGGTATCATCATCATCATCAACATCATCCTCCAGAATGGGAGATGCTAAGGCTGGCCGTTTGCGGCTTGGGGCACTCTTGGCTGTAGTAGGCTTGGTAGGGAGAGAAGAAGATGGACGAGCAGACTGTTTAGCGCGACGAGGAGGAGAAGGACTCCGAATGGACAAAGGAGTGACTAAAACAGGAGGAGAGGAAGAAATGCTCGGCTGGTCTAGTGAATGAAAGGCACGATTGGCATCAGTCGCAAATAATATGCGCTTCACTGACGGCCAGAGCTGTTCAAAAAGAGGATGAATGACGTGGCTAGAATTGAAGGGGGCTAATGAGAAATAGCTGGTTAAAAGAAGATTGCGAGCATTTATAGCCTCTGCCTCCGCCTTATTAATAGTATGAAAACGGTCAATTAAGTTCATTGAATAGTAAGGAGGAACAGGCCAAGTTTGGTTGAAACCAAGCTGGCGAGCAAAAAAAATTGGGGAGCATAAATTTCTACCCCTACCTTGGCATTGGTCTCAGTCAAAATATCATGAAATAGCTCCCTCCCGGTTAAAAACTGGATCCAAATGAGCAGGGAGGTGCTCGCGCTGTCTATAGTGGAGGGGGGATGTACATAGTTTGGAGTCAAAAAAGGAGGAAAATGAAAAAAGGAAGAGATTGAATCCAAAGAATAAAAGAATGAAAAAATATCCCTTCTGGACATATTTACAGGAGCCAAGGGCTCCATGGCTAGCCCATAACAGCTAGCAGAGAAGTGAGAGATTGATGGAGCACCAAGTAATGGAAAATAGGATCTCAACCATAGTTTAGTGAACCAAAGAGGTCCACTGCCAGTGGGAGATACACCATTCTTCAATTGAGTTTGAAGAGATGCCATGCCTCTATAAAGGGCAACTAAAAAGAAAGAACATAAATTCAAAGGTCTGTCACGTGCCAATTCGTGCGCTATAGGTAAATAACTCAGGGAGGGCTTTATGCTTGGCACACACAAAACATATTTACAAAGCCAAACTAGAAGAAAGGCCACTCGCTCAGTATGGAAAGGCTCAGCGCTCGAATGATTGTGAAGGGTTTGCAGGCTTGAATAAGATTCGGTGTAGTTTTTACCAAACTTTGGGGCGCCACCAGAAACCAAGATACCAGGAAAAATGGTATCGCCCAAAGGTGGTAGATTCACCAAGGCCCCAACATTCCTTAAAGTAATAGATATGGGGCCAAGAGGGAAAATAAAGGTATTATACTCGGAAGACCAAAAACTCAAAGCAATCGAAAAGAGTGCTGAATCAAAAGTAGGGGGCGAATAGAGATTTTTAACAAATCAGAAATCCTAGCGCTATCAAAAAGTGCCTTAGTAGGACCATGACCCACAAGACGAGCATGCCACCTACGGAAAGCTAC